GCATTGCTGCATTAGAAATGACTATAAAGATGCAAAAATTACTCAATCGTCAAAGTTGCGGAGATTCCATAAGAATAAATGAAAGGTTCTACGTTAAAATCTAACATAGTATCATAATTAAGGGATGTAATCACATATCGACCACGTATAAAGATTTGCAATGGTTTATATATATGTTTGAAAATTCATTTTGGGTTAGAATCTATAAATAAAACCATAGCTAATATTCCAGCCCAAGAAACTTTATGAGACCACTATCATGGGCATTACCATGTTATCCTAGATATCGTGAATCCCATGCATTGGTTTCACAACATAACTACAGATTGGAATGTATAAAACATTTCAATTCTAAAAAAAAAAAGAGATTAAAAAACCTTCTCCCTGAAGGATAACAATTTTTTCAGCGAAAAGACAGGATAATAATTTCCTCCTGTACCATTGTCTAACTTTTCTCCCATGGAAAAAAACTATATCATGATACAACAAGAAAGTGACCATTAATAATTTTTTCACTCTCTCTTTTAAATTTCTCTTTCTCCACTCTTGGTGCCAACATACTCCCATAATGTTTTTTTTTTTAATTTATAATACGTTGAAGTTTGTTAGTATGTTTTAACCATAAAACTTAGTAGATAGGCTCTCTCACCATGAAAAAATTCAAATATAATTGACAACATAGGAAATTCCAAGAGTGTAAGCACAGAACTAAAATATCTGAGCTAATTGAGGAAAATGACTCCTTATTTAGGATAAAAATAACCAACAAAAAATAGTTATGTCTATTAACCAGAGTTTATTACAACAAGGCAAAACAAACTGGCATAAGCACACCTATAAATGAAGTGGCGACAAAGGCTTTATTTTCTCCAACAGCCTATCAGCATCAATAAATCCACCTAGCGGCCCCAAAGATACATACTTCATATGCTTCCACCTGTTTAAGTTCTTCAATTAAAATTACTTGAACACTTTAGGAGACTAGTGAAGAAAACATATTTGAGACTTGAGAAGCACCTAGGTATAAAAGGTAGAGCCAAACAATGAAGGTGGAGATGGTTAACACTGTTCAATGGAGGCTGATGGAAACCAAACCTGTGGAAGGTGCAGAAAATTAACTAATCAATCAAACTTGTTGTGGACAAAAGTCATCAAGAGAATAAAAGATAAAAGCAAACACAGCTTCGGGCCATCTGTGATCTCTTGCTTACTTTGTTCCCTAGTGTTGAGGCTGAGGAAGTTAATTCACCTTGTTTTGTTCGACTTAATTATAATTAGAATGTTTTTTCTGAAAAGATTATTATTATAGGGAGAAAATAAGATGATGCAAGAGAGGAGGATAAGTAATCCTCCAACAGCAACCCAAAAAAGAGCAAAGAGAACAGAAAACCAATTGAATATGCCAATACCTCAGAGGAATAGCTAAAGAAACCCCTCTTAATCCAAAGAGATGCCAAAAAACCAATATGTTCCACAACATAAAAGATTGGAAGCAACTTTTGAAGACTTTGGTATCACTCCAACCACAATAACCCACAAGCTTGCAAAAATCGCCTCTCTCTATAGCAATTTCCGTTCCTTATTACTGTAGAAGCCTTGCATAGACGACAAAATAAAGACTTCAAGAGAAGGGGGGCCAAATCAGCAAACCAACACCCTCTAAAGATATCAAAGAGCATAGACCAAAGTAAACCACATCATGTCACATGAGAAAGGGGTGACTAGGAGACTCGGATATTTGATGATGCAAACACAACTATTTGTAGATATACGTAATTATGTCCATAAGCGTGAAGTATATCTTTAGTGTTAAAATGTTGAGCATTGCATTACAAATGAACACTTTAACCCTAGTAAAATCTGTTCTCTCACACCAAAAAAGAACAAATAGTTAAGACTGTGCTTCAGAGATTGGGGTGGTTAATAAAATTATTAAAGGACCGCCAGATGTAGATCCCAGAGAAATCCAAAGTCCACAGTCAAGAATTGGAAAAGCACTAAAATGTTGAGCATAAAATCAGCTCATAAGCCACCCTTCATCAAGATCTCTAAAAAAGAAAAGCCCCAAAAATTTTGGCCATCCAAATGGTGCATGAAAATGCAAATAGGGGTATGACAAAGTGAAAGGCTATATAGGTGAAGGAAACAGCTAGACAAACATGAGTAGTCCAACCAACTATCTTCTCAAAACAAGATGCAAGTGTCATTCCCCAGCTTCATTCAAAAAAGAAGAGAAAGTGTAAGGCAATTAGGTTAATTTGCCTAATTGAGACTTGAGGATAAAAACCTAGACATCATACTTAGGTTTCTTAGATATCACGCCTGCCACCAATAGCTGTAATGTGAAATGCCTGATGATCTGTGGGTTTGGATTTGCAATTTTGAGGATTGCTCGGAAACAAGGGTTAATTTTTTTAAATGTTGTGTGGTCTGCTTGGAAGTAAGGTGTTTTTTCAATTGAGTGTAGGAAATTTTGCCTACTATACTAATTAATATATATGAAATTAGGAAATTTGTGGATAAAATCTAGGTATCACATCTAGTATTTCGATATTACACTTAAAAATTCTTCAGCAACACACTAAAGGACTTAATTTGAGAATGAGGGAGAATAAATATGCATTAGGAATTTTGAGGTTGGTAAAAGGATTTTTCAACCTCTGATTTGCCTACATCAATAGGACAAGTCATAATGTTCAACCTAAGCCATTAACAGAGGTACAAATATTCTCCCCTCCCCTTCCCTACCTAGTTTCTGAATTAAAAAGTCTCATTGCCCAATTGCAAAAGCTGATTACTAATAGAACACACCAAGGAAAATAGGAACAACCAGATGAATAAAACTCAACCAGTTAATGAGCTAATTACTTGCTGAACCCTTTTATGCATGCACGGGGTGTTGCCCAGCTTATATATCCCTCAAAGTTTGTGTGCACAGGGTATTAGAATCTAGTTTCTGTTGCATGTACTTCTGGAGAGTATTATAAGGCCGGAGCTATCATGCCTTGGAGGCATGATGCCTCAAATGATTTTCACTATCAGATAAAAGGAAAAACAATCACAACTTGTTATTGGTAATAGGGAGAAATAAAAGATCTGCTAAGTGGGTGGACAAGTGTGCTGGAGACAATAGGTCAGTATGTGTTTTACATGATGTGTTAAGCGTGGACCTCTGTATTAGGGAGAATAAGCCTAGATAAGGACGAGGGAGTAGTTGATTCTGAAAATAACTTCCAGATAACTACTCTTTCTCTTGTAAAATGAAATATTTTCTTCTGACAGGTTATTAGGCAAGAAGAAATTTATGAAAAAAATATTAAGTACCTCTTACTAAAGAGATCATTAGATTCTCTATTAATGAGCCCATATTATTAATAGAAATCAGATATCACTGGGTTCTCTCTTAATATGCCCATACTATTAACAAAATCTCATAACAAGATCTGTAAATCAGGATTGTAACAATTTGTTATCAGAGCCAATTATTATGGAGGACTTGCATTTCATGTTTGAAAAATTTCTGCAGACTTATACAGAAAGATAGACGACAAGATGAATTAAAGTTAGAATTTTTTGTGGGAAGATTGGAAGAATCATCAGCCAAAACTGCCCCAAAGAAGTCCGGCAAAGAAAGCAGCCAAGCAGACCACCATCAGTGGCGCCACACAAAAGCTACTGAATCCACAGCATGCAATCTATGTGAAGAAGAAAACTTCCAGTGCAAGCAGACCCCTCTATAAGCACCGTGCAGCACCGCACATGTGCCTCTGCAAGCTCAACGTGAACTGGCAGCAGCCTGGAACCACCACCATGCTGAGCGACCCTTTCTGCCTCTTTACACCAAACTGAACTTTCCCGTTTTGATGGTTCTGACAATGAAGAAAATTCTGAAATTCCAGCAGTGATAGAACCAAAAACTATAGCAGAGACGGGAATTTTGCACTTGAGGACAAGCTCCATTTTTCAGGAGTGGAGTAATGTGATGGATAATATTATGGTTTATTGGGAAGAATAAATGATATGTTAAGTGGGTGGACAAGTGTATTGGGGAGAATAGGTCAGTATACATTATGCATAATATGATGTGTTAAGTGTGGACACATGTATTTGGGAGGACAAGTCTAGATAAAGACAAGGAAGTGGTTAATTTTGGAAATAACTTCCCAGATAACTACTCTTTCTCTGCGTATTACATACTTCCTTCTTGATA